ACAACAACTTGACTTGGAGCTGATGGATCCTGGAAAAACACAATGTTCCTCTTCCCCAAATCCCCAACAGTGTTCCCCTCCCCAATTCCCCAATGAAGTCTTTAGAAAACAAAAAAACCATTTTTTTACTTTATCAGGACCTCCAGGCCACTGGCATCGCTGCCTTCTCCTTTTAGACTCTCGTCTCATTTTACGGTCTTTAATCAATCATCTCTGTAACTTCTGTCAATAATCTACATTGTTTTATCCCTTTTTGTGGGATCTTTGCATGGCACCCAGCTATATAGAAACTTCCTGTTGCCAAAGACCTATGTGCACCTGGTTCCATCCTATTACGAATAGTTGTCTTTCTTTTTGATGTGACTCCCTCGATCTGTGCTTTGGATTCCATCCTCCCCTACCTTCTCAGCAGCTTTTTTCCAATCATTAACTTCAACTCCTCCCATGTTACTGGATATTTTCAAGGGGCATTTAAACATGCTAAATGTCTTCAATCCCTTTCAATAAATCTGCACCAGGGAATTTTAGATATAAATGATAGATAAAATTAACAAAACTCTGGAAGATAATATAGAAAAGTATTTTTATGGTCACAGTATAAGGAAAGGTTTCTTAACAGGACACAAAAAAACTCTTAGCATAAAAAGGCTGGCAAATTGTACTAGGTTACTTTTTAGCCACAGCACTGGGGGACAGACTGACAACAATTAAAAACCCAGAGGATTCATCCAGTCCACATAACAATTAAAAATCAATAGGAAAGATAAGTCATTAGAAAAATAGGCAAAAGACATGAAAAGGCACTTCAAAAAGAGGATACTCAAATGATCAATAAACATCAAAAGTGCCTCAACCTCATCTGTAATCAAAGAAATGCTCATTAAAAACCATAACAAAAAAAACAAGTGTTGGGAGGATGCGGAGTAAATGGGCTGCTTATTCATTGCTGGTGAATGTAAATTAGTACAACCACTTTGGAAAACACTGCCCACACACTTGAAGATACCACACCCTTGGACCACTCTAGGTATACACTCATTAGAAGCATGAGCACACACATATACACTAGAAGACATGCACAAGAATATCTGTGGCAAGGTTAGCTGAAAAGAGCCAAAAGCTGAAATCAATGTCCACAGACAGAATGAACAAGCACAATGTTAAACCGATACTATGGAATACTATTCAGCACAGAAAAAATGAACCACCACTATACACTTTAACGTGGATGAACCTCAGAAACATAATAAGCAAAATAAGCCAGACATAAGACTATATATCGAATAATTATAATTCTCTCTATATGAAATTCAGAATCACTAGGCAAATAGGTTGCAACGTTCTATTTCTTACCCTAGGTGATGGTTATACCAGTGCTGGATTTGTAACAAGTCATCCCTTGATCTATACTTTGTGCTATTCACCATATTTGCACAATAAATAAGGTTTTCAAAAATCATAAATTAAAGCAATAATATCCTTCTCCTTTTACTTGACTTCATTCCTCTACTCTTCTAGAAGCTAACTTCCTTGACTCGGTTGTTTATAACTGTTATCTATTTTTCATCTCTCATTCACCCAAAATATATTTCGGAAAGGTTTCTGCCCCTAACACTCTTCCCAAGTGACTTTTCCTATAGTAACCAATAACCTCCAAGTTGTTGTCACAGAGAAAACCACAGGCCCAAAATGGCATCACTCAGTGCTAAAAGCCCATAATACCAAACCTAGATTTAATACCTCATCTAACTGCAGTTTCAACCTCGCCCAGAAAAATAATCAGTCCGGAATTTCCTGGTCAAGCACCAGTAAGGTAACCTGTCACATGGGGGCTCTCCATCCCCCTCCCCCCTTAGAAAGAGGAAATCTGTATATCTCTCTTCCCCAAAGAAGAGATGTCCTAGCCCAAACACAATCCATTCTTTTGTCAATAACTCTCTTGCCCACCCTTCTTCCTATAAAACCTTCCATTTTGTACAGGCCCTTGGCGCTCCCATCAAGTCGCTAGATGGGATGCTGCCTGATACATAAATCCTTTAATAAAGCCAATTAGGTCTTTGAACTTACTTGCTTCAATTTTGTTTTTTTAACATTGTGGAAGACTATTCAGCAGCTATAAACCATGCTCACCCTTTTCTCCTTAAAATAATTTCCCTTGGTTTTCCGGTCATAACTCCTAGTTTTCCTATCTTTCTGGTTCTCCTTCACCATTTCTTCTGCTGGTTCCTTTTCTAACTAGTCTTTAAATAGTGGAGTTGCTTTTCCATTTTAATTCCTAAACTCCCTTTTCTTCTCACAGTATAGCATCCCCTAGATGATCTCATTGCTTCATCCATCTTTCCAGTTAGTATCTATGTGCTAGTGACTTCCTCAGCGTGAGTTTTGGGTATCAACAGAAGATCAAATTCCACTCAAAAAGTCATGATTTTCTCCCCAAACCTGACCTTAAGGATTCCCTATTTTGGTGAATAGCAATGTCAGGAACCACCTTCTTACTTCCCTCTAGCAATTAATCTATTGCCATCCTAAACAGCTCTCTTCTTACATCACCACCCCCAGCTACATCTATTCCAAAACATTACTAGCTTCCTGCACCCACCACTGCCCACCACACTCCATATTACAGTCACAGTACTCTTTTTAGAACACAGATGACATACCTCCTCACCTCCATCCTCAACTTCCTGTCGCCCAAATATAAAGTCAAAAGCTTTAACATGGCTTATAATCTGTAATTTTTTAATGCGGATTTCTTTTTATAGGAATTCACTGACAGAAAGTTAACAGCACATGATTCGATATCCAGCAAAAGTCATAACTATAAACTTATGTTAGGGCATAATTAACTCTCTAGATCTAACATTTATACTTTTCAACATGTTTAGTATATGTTACATCATCTAATCTGACACACAACAATCCTGTTTTGGTTTTAAGATTTTTATTGGGAATTGGGGGAGGGGAACAGCGTTGGGGAATCGGGGAAGGAGACAAGTTGCTGTCCTTGTGTTCTTCAGTCTAGTTGTGGAGGACGTTGCTTCACTGGCCCATGTTGGCATTATCATTGCCCTCTTCCCGGGTGAGGCAGTCACTCACCAACTATTGGACGGCCGCTCACAGCAGCTCATGGCCACTCACAGTAGCTCACGGCAGCTGCCGGCCAGCCTCACAGCAGCCCAGCTCCAGGTTGAGCTATTGCTCACCATCTTAGCTGTAGAGGGTGCAGCATCACTGGCCCTCATACATGGGATCCAAACCGGGGCCCCGCTGCTCATAGCTGGCGTCCCAAGCCAACTCCTAACCAACAGCACCACTCGGCTGGCTCACAATCCTGTTTTATATGCAGAGCTGAAGCCAACTTCACTTTATCATTGATGAGAACAAGTTAGGTATAATCTACTCGAAGCTGAAGGGACTCTACTAATACACAATCCAGTCATCTTCCTACTATAGCTACCACCTTGATCACAGATTGCTACATTTAGAAGGGCTCAAAGGCCATACATAAAACCCCTGAGGTCATTCTATCCTTTCTCTTAATTTAGATTACGTTTAGTCACTTGTGCTACTTTTCTTTCTCTGGATAATGGTACAACAGACTTCCATTATTCTTG